GCCCACTCACATTGATCTTCTTCAGCGCCTGCTTATTGTCCGCACACCACACCAACGCCGCCTTCGTCTGCCCCTTCCTCAAACTCTCCTCCACGCGGAAACACTCCACAAACGCCTCCACATCCACCAGCTCCTCAATCCCCTTCTCCTGCGCCAGCTGCCTCGCGCTCTCCCCATACCCACTCCTCAGCAAATAGTCCACCAGCAGCCGGTCCAGCCTTACCCGGCTCCACTCGTCGTACTTCACATCAGCCAGGCTCGGGATCTGATACAGCTCGTTCAGGTGCGCGATGCGGGCTTTGGACTGGCGCTGTATGCTCTCTTCCGTCTGCTGCAGGTCGGACAGCTTGCGCTTGAGGGTTTGGAGACGGGAGATCATGGCGTCGAGGTCTGAGATAGCTTTGGGGGCGTCGGGGGCGCTGAGCGCGGCGTTGGCGCTGTTTTTGAGGTCTTTGAGGGTTGCGTCGCGGTGTTGCTCGAATATGCGGCTGGCGGCTTTGTAGTTTTTGCGCGAGAGCTCGTAGGGCATGCGGAGGAGGGGTTGGTCCTGGGGTGGGTTAGCAGGGTGGGTGGGGGGGCTGCGGGCTTGGTGGAAGGTGAGGTGGGGCCTCGTACGAGGAGGAGGTGGGTTTCGGGGTTGAGTTTTGTGGTTGTGGGTTCGGCCATGTTTGGTGAAGCAGTGATTTCTTGGAAACGAGGTGTAGGGCGTCGATATGCTGGCGTGTTGGAAGTCGCTTCGGTTGCAGTGGGCCTGGTTGTGTCTCGTGGTGGGGGTTTCGTAGTCCCAGTCAGGCACTCAGGCCACAAGACGACCAGATACGCATAGCACGAACATACATTATCCGCCTCCCGTAACAAGATTCCACGTTTTTCTCTAATATAGATATCGGACTGTGATCTTTTTACAGTTTGGATCTGTCTCAAGCCGTCGAAGTTTAGTAACATCCGTTGTACATCAGAGCATCGTAACTCCCACTGGACAACAGACGGCTTTGGAAACGATGCTTGGAAAAATGTTACCATACACCAGGAGTCTTCTGCTAGGTTTCCATCCAAGTGAGAACAAATCCCTCAACAGGGCATCCTTCCGTGCCGCGCTCGTTCTTCAACTTGAGCCTAGAGTCCTATACTAGCCACAACAGCCAACCCCACAACCACCATCCCCGTCCAACCCACCCTACTCATCCCCGCCTGTCAAGTCGCAGGCGCATTAGGACTATCACACGAAGTTCCCCATGGCGTTGAGATATTTGGCAACATCGTCCCAATGCAGTTGTGCCAAGCGCTACCACCTTGATCCGTCTAGCAGAAGTGAGTGCAGTTCTCCCAGACGTGCACCTCGTTGCCGCCGCAGCATCCCATGATAAGGTTCCCGATGTAGGAGGGAAAATTGAATTGGCAATAGGGAGTTCCTGCAGTGAAGTTGAGCACTTCGGGCGGGATAGGTGGCAAGGCCGCGGGGGAACATGTGTCGGTTGGGCCAGGAGAAAGGGTGACCGTGGAGGTCGGGGCGATGGAAGTGTTGAAGGACATCGTGACTATTGAGCTGGGACTTCTGCGTGAAGAGTATCGGGTTGGTAACGTGGCTGCGAAACTTGAGGATTGAATTGTGTTGAAGCAGAATAGACCGTTGCGGTGTTTGTTGTTTTATGATGTCCTCAAATCCTGACACCTCCGACGTTTACCGTCATCCTCAAGACCAGCTTCCAGATTTGTGCGAGTGACTGTCAGGTCGGACCACGGCTAGATCGGTGTATATGTGTATTACTGTGCCGGGTGATCGATTCTGCCTTGGGGGCCTTAAGCAGATCCTTTGCCAGTCCTGGGCGGGGCTGTGGTTGCAGCCAGGCATTATTCTCACATTGCCAGCTGCGAGAAAATAGTAAACTTGTTGGTCCAATAGACAAAAGAGCATAAGAAACAGGCGCGGAATCTGCCTCTATAGAGCTTGAGGGAGAGAATAAGAATTTCAAGGAAAGATTGGTAAGTATCGAAGTTGGAATTTGGTAGCCAGAAAATGGTTAAAGTCTCAGCTTCAGCGGCTTAGGAAGACAAAAATAGAAAATGGGTTACGATGCAGTGCCCAGGTGCAAGAGAGAGGAAGTGGCTGAGTTGAGGGAGCATTTCTGTGCTCCCACATGGCTCCACGAGACATCAAGGGATGGCCCATGTTCACCTACAGCTCGGCTAAACCTCCTCATTTCTCACTCAACCTCACCTCAGCTCGTGCGAGCATAGGGCGGAGACATTCGATCGCTAGAACGGGACATGGAAACCTTGCAAACCCTCGCAGATAATCCGTTGGTAGATGGCCTCACAAGGTAGGTACCCAGGCCGTAAGCCGGTCAGGCACGCACGGCACGAAAATGCAACATCCGTCGCCTTGACAAGATTCTATCTTCTCTGATACGAACAAGAGCTCCTATTTAAGCATATCACGAGCAGATGACATCTCTCGGTGAATGGAGGAACTTTTATGTGGTGCTTTAGTGTTACATGTGGCCGCAGCGACCATACAAGCATAAAGCTTCATCTTGAGTATCGATATACCTCGAGGACGCTCAGCACACGCATGCATGAAGTGTGTTTTCAGGGTTGCAGACCTGAAGGGGACTAGGCTTGGACAGGACACTTGAGTCCATCTGCAGGATGCTTCTAATCATGGAACGTAACGGTCGCTACGCTCAACTGTGGAATGCTGGTGAACCTCATTGCAGGCTGGTCATACGTAATAGGGCGTGAAAGATATTAAGCTTCTCAACACACAGCGACGTGAAACACGCCTCTCTGCGTGATACGAACCACTGCGACTGCCTAGCTAGAGCCTGTCCACAGCCTACACATGAAATGCAAGGTTTCATTGCAGAACGCACTTGTCAAAGCAAACCAAGGGGACTGTCGCCACAATCAATCCCATTTCCATGTCTATTCTATGAGGATTGCCGATAGACCAAGTGTTTACACGAGAGTGCCGTTTCGACCGCATCCAACGCAACAAAATTTCAGGACTTGCCGTCGCAGAACTGGATAACAGCCCACTTGCCACTCCAAGCCCACTTCCTACATCCGCTATCCCCACCGCCACCTTCTGTGGCCCTCAGCTCCTCGTCTTTCCCTGCAGGCAAGCCGACAATAACATCCGCCTTGCTGGTCCTCAAAGCGAGTGTACGGATGCCTGACTTCCCGCCAAGAGGTCCTATGGCCTCGGCGAAAGGGGTCGTGGGATCCCACATTGCCTGCGCTTGGTGTCAGCTTATCCTGCAGGGTCCGACGACGGGACGGGAATGAGCGTAACTCACATCAGCGGTCAACTTTCTATAATTCAAGTCGCCCTTGAAAATGACCAACTCGCTCTCCTTGAGATCTTCGTAGAGCTCCGGCGCCGTCTTCGGTAGCCGCCAGTAGCTGCCTCCCTCGGTCCAGAAGCGGTTCGGTCTGATGGCAAGCTGGCCCTCTGCGTGGAAGCCCGCCCACCGCTGGAACAAGAAGCTCAGCTCGTCGGCCTCCTTGTCCGAAAGCGGTTCCGGAGTCTTGCCGGCGTGCTTGTCGTCGTCAGACGGTGTCGTGTAGAATGCCTGTGGATTCGCGAGTGCGTTGAGCAAGTCACCGAAGTCCTTGGGCACGACGTCCGAGACAAACCAGGGGATCGATTTGGGGTGGAGCACGATCTCTGTTGCTAGGTCGGCGGAGAGGAGATAACCAGCGAGGATCAGATCGACGAAGAGCTCGAAGCCAGCGTTGTCGAGGATGATGTCAACCCTCCGCTCCTTCTTTCCAGCCTTCTTCGCTTTGTTGAGGACCTCGAATGCTTGAGCTAGGTCATTAACTATGATGTTCTTCTCAGACGCCTTGCGGGCTTCTGAGCCTTGTAACTTCTGGATGTCCTCGTATGACAGGTTGGTGAGGAGCGAGAGATCCGTGGCGTTGCCCCATAGGCAGATCTCGCACATCTCCGTGAAGAGCAGCTTATCCGCAGCCTCCCGCTCTTCCGGCGATTGCGTTTCCGATGTACCTGATTCCAGCTGCGTGACGAGCTCTTTGTAGCGTGCGGCGAGCTCGGTGACTGCGGGGCGGGAGGACCTGAACGTGGACATCTTCTGGCGGGCGAAGATGTCGTAATTTTTCCACTTGGAGGACATAGAGAAGAGCGTGTTCATGCGTCTATCTTGTGTGTTTCATTAGCTTAGCCTTGTCAATTCTGTCTTTCTAGACATACCGGTAGAGGTAGCACTCTGAATACAACCACGGGACATTGAACCACTTAGGATTACCCAGCTGCTTGAGCTCCTTGTTATAGCCGGCCACATCGCGCTCGCCATCATCGGGCATTGGGCTGTCCCTGGTCAGCACGAGCTTCCAAGTTTCCTCAACGCGATCCCACCTCAGATGGCGGTCATGTTGCAGCTCATACTTGAGCTTCGCAAGACCCTCTACAATCTTCTTGCCCTCTCGCTGTGTTTCGGGATCCTGCGCCGCGCCAGTAGCACGGTGGACATCATCAATGCCGCCGGTCTGCAAGCCATGAGCTTTATCCTAATGCTGTGTTACGGGGCTAACCGACTATGATAACCGGCCACCGATCCCGCGCAGAGATATACGCGAAGGAGGTCTTGTCGCCGGTGCTGTATTGTGCTTTGGCAAGTCAGTCACTGAGTTGAACATTGGATCTCGCTGCTCTGCTTACGCGTCTTGGTATCGTACTCCATGGTTGATGTTTCCGTTGGTGTTTGCTAGTAAATTTTGGCGGGAAGTGATGAAGTTTATCGATGAAGCTTATCGATTACGAGGCGGGTAGGCTTCCAGATATGGAGAGGGATCCGATGAATTCCATTATGGGTGTTCTTGGTATACAAAGCAGTGCTGAATTTGTACTACATTTAGTGATATATAAATACGTAAACCGATTTCATTTCACCATCAACCAGCAATCAGTTGACGTTGGGCTTGGTTAGTCAATCTGGATCCCCCATATCTCAGAACTCCGCAACTGACATCATCCAGTGGTTTAGTGGTATAATACCCCCTTAGCAATTGGATCAGACTCAGTCTGATCTCGAACTGGGGGTGGTCCGGGGTTCGATTCCCCGCGAGTCCATTACTTTTGTTTTTATGCACATTATTACTTAGGTGTGTGACGTAGCTACTCAAACGGCTCTCGCTTTTTGGATTCGGGCTATAAAACGAAAAGCATAGCGCGGCTTTAGGTATCCGTGATTACCTACTTTACTCTATACTCCACGAACTTCCTAAAGTCGCTCTACGTGGGTTTAGCCTAATCTTATTAGAGGGTGGTCCTGGGTTCAGTACGTCTCCGTTCGGGTCATATAAAATTAAATGCAAAATGGACATCTTGTAAAAAGATTCCCCGCGGGTCCAAATAGCTTCGCTCTTCACAAAAGAGTATCTTTCCCCCTTTTATCCGTCTTTTTAGCTGATAGAAACTCTCCGTCAATAGATTAGACCTCCCTTTAAGCCTGAATCTACGTTGGGAGCGATCACTAAAAGTATTTCACGTGCAGCTACTAGCCGTCTCTACGTAGAGTGCGTCGAAGCGTAGACAACAGGGAGATTAACATGTTTTGGTTGCGAGACTTTGTTTGACCCATCATGCAGGTGGCGGAAGTCGCCAAACTACAGAATCGGCCAAAATCATCAAAAGCGCCACGTTCACCAAGATCTTCACCATGACCATTCCACATCCAGTTGTTGCTGCGACAGGCTTACAAGGGCATATACGTCTCCTGTCGCCTAAGCATCTCACATATCATCCTATTTGATGATACAGGATTCAATTGATCGTCAACGCAGCGCTGTACCCGTTCGTGGTGTTCAGGTCCAGCGATTTCTGTCACCTGAGCGACTAGAAATGGTACTTCTAATTGAGCGTGGCACTAGAGATGGAACTGTAGATATTCTGACGCTTTCAAAACCTCAGCCATTTGAAGTCACTCCCATCCCTGAAAGACCGCATCAGCTTAGTGCCCACCAACGACCCTCGAAGCATCAGTACCGCCTCCCATACCCCCTCGGTCCGGCCTCCCTACGCCTGCGCTCCTGAGCGCATCCAGCCTCTCCATGATTCGATCCATATTCCTGAATGCCCTGTCCCTCCTCGCCATATCGTCTTCGTAGTCTTGCATATCTCTCGGATCAGGCTGACCCCTATCCCATCCACCAGCCCAACCTCCGCCCATACCGCCCCCGCCAAAACCGCCTGCCCCATTTCCGCCCTGATCAGCACCTCGGCCTCGACCACCTCCTTGACCTTCTTGACTTCCAGCCGGCTCACCTGCTCCCCCACCATCCCCTCCCCACCCCTATCCTCCTCAGCCTCAATCGGCCTGACAAGATACGACCTCCCCGTACTCCCCTCCGTTCCAACCCCCAAGAATTCAAACCCCTGCAAATCCCCCTGTCTCACCAAACTCTCCACCGCAACCAAAATATCACCCCTAGCCCCATCCTCCGCAACGGGATCACACCCATCATGCCTAGTCGCATATATCCTCCCGCGCGGCCCATCACTCACACCCGCCAGACTCCCGTTCTCGAGCGCAACGGACACGACCACGTCGTCGGGCTCTGGGTTCCGCTCGCGGCGCACGCGCGCTGATTCGCGCATCTCGGCTGCGAGAACCCGGGACTCGGGAGCCGTGTTGTGGAGCACGAGGTGGAAGGTGTGCGCGGCGGTGCCATCGGGGGCGTAAAGGATCACGGGGGCCGTGACGGCGGTGTTGCGGGGTGGGAGGCGGGGTCTTCGGCGCTGAGGGGGCGGATGCCTGCGGGGTGGTTGGCTGCACGGTGGCGGGCGGGGCCTGCGGCTGGGCGGGCGTCGTCATTGCAGGCGTCGCGAGGAGGCGGTCCTGCTGCTTGGGCTCGGGCGGCTGCGGCGGCTCCGGCTGCTGCTCTGGCGGGCCTGGCGTTACCGTTGCCGTTGCCGTTGCGGGCGCCGCGTGGAGGCTCCAGACCAGCGCCACCATCACCACCACCACGATCGCCTCCTCCAGGAACGATAGGCACGGGGTTCTGCTGGCCCGTGAGGCGCAGCTCGAAGCTCTGGAAGCGCCGAGCAAGGCGGTGGAGCTCGTCATTCGCCTCGGCCCTCTCGGCAGCATTGCGGGCGTGGTCGCGTCCATCTTCCATCAGGTCCAGATTGGCAAACGCCCTCGTGATCCCTTCCTGGTTTCGGGGAGTCATATGAGGGGCGGTGTCGAGGATCCGAGCCAGGTTCTCGCGGAGGGTTTCGCTGTCCACTTCCCCCGGGCGGGGACCGTGTTCGTAGGCTTGGCCCGCCGGTTCTTGAGCTCCGCCAGCTGGTTCATCGGCGTGATGGTTGGCGGGAGGAGCGGCCGGATCGGCACGACCACCTGCAGGAATCCTAGGGATAGCAAACTGCTGGCCCATGAAATGCAGTGTCATGCGCTGGATGCGGCGATCGAGACGTTCGAAACCTTCATTTCTCATCCGCCTATCGCGATAGTGGTGGGCGTCTTCGCGGCGTCGTTCTAGCGTCTCTAGTCTGCGGAAGGCTACCATAAAGGCGCGCCCCTCTTGCGGGCTAAGATTATCGGTGGCCTGGAGGACGCGATGTAGCTGGGCGAGCAGAGCGTCGCCGTCAACTTCGCCCGGGCGGCCCGGGCGACCTGCGAGGCCGTGGCCAGGTTCTGGGTCGTTCTCGTAATGGCGCCTATACACTTCGGCAACTCGTTCGCGAACAGCAGCTGGGTCTTCCTCTTCAGAACTCGAAGACCATCCGACGTCGTCGCCGGCATCAGCGCCATAGCCATAAGGATAGTTACCACGACCACCAGGACCGCGGTAACCGCCAAATCCGCGACCGAAGCCGCCGCCGTATCCGCCGTGGCCGCCATATCCATAGCGGTCCATTGCTGAGAGATCTCACGGTGTTTACAGATAATGACAGAGATTTGAGAGCGTCAGACAGGAGCTGAATACGTGCGAGAGGCTGATGGAGGTTTTAGGATTTCCGATCGGGTATGACGGCAGAAATGTAGAGAGATCAAGTTGTAATGAATAGAGTTGTGGACTAGTAAAGTTGTGGAGGTGCAGAGCCGAAGAGTTGAAGAGAGCGAGCGGCGAAGCGACAGAGCGGTGTGCACGTGCAACCATGGAAGACAGTAAAGACATCATGTCCGTACGTGGCAAGTTTAGTGAATGGCATGTAGTAGCGCTAGTTGAATGAACTTGACATTGAGTACTGCTAAAGTGACAACTCAGGGAGGCGGTCATGTGACGGCCCAGCACCGGTGAATGCCGCCGTCACGTCCTTTTCTTCTATATGCCACGTGAACATGAAGCAATCATATTGATGTTGGAGTTGATAAGTGAGATGACGGAACTGACGGAAGACGGTAATGGTGGAAGACAGTAGAGTGAAGCTGGAACTTTAAACCTGCTCCTCGTCATGTTCCCTAGTGACGTAAACATCCATACAGATAAGCACACAGCGAGAGCCGTGTGCCGTGTGTTGCCAACAACCTAACGCAATACGTGCTGGACATCTGTGAGTGGCGCGAAGGATATTCCTCATGCTCCATGCTCCATGCTCCAGTACAACCCAACCACGTTGAGCTTCAGTCGTATCATAGTCCTTCTCATCACCGCTGTCGTGCACAGAGAGTCACACAGTGTCCAAACTCATCCACTCGTTACGCCGTTCAATCCTGCTGCTGCATATGACTCGGCAAATTCCACCCCGCATAATCCAAATGCACAAACGCGCGATCAACCATCGGGACACTTTCGAGCACATACTGCAAACTCTCGCCCAAATCATGGCTATCCCTCAGACTCGTGTTCTCATCAAGCACAATATCGACCTCGACATTGAGCTTGTCGCCCGCGTGATAAGCCTGCAGGCCCTGGATCTGCTTGATCGTCTTCGCGAAGCGCATGGTCAGGTAGAGCAGGACGTTGCGCTCGTCGGCAGAGGCGGCTGCGCCTGTTAGGTTGCGGATGTGGGTTGAGGAGGTGCGTGACCAGTTCAGGATTACGTAGATGGAGAGGAGGATGCCGCCGAGGGGGTCGAGCCACCAGACTTTGGCGTAGTAGCCGACTGTTGCAGCATTAGCACGGTGGTACGCAGCGTCTTTGAAGCGACGGGAGGGTACGCACTCAGCGGGAAGATGATACTGAAGATGTTGAAGACGACATCGGTCATTGCGTCTTGTGCCAAGGCTTGCACGCTGGAGTTCTTGATGAAGCGACACCATAGCCAGCAGAGGAACTTGATGACGACTGTGGAGGCCATAATAGCGATGGCCGGGATGGTGAGTCGCACTAGAGTGTGGTCGCCTGAGCTCCTGAGTCGGTTGATACCTTCGAGAGCAACCTGGAAGAAGGAGGTAATCATGATCACGGAAAACACCAGCACACCGATGGGCTCCAATCTTCGGCGACCCACGGGGTATGAGTACTGGTCTCTTCGGGAGATAAGCCGCGTGGTTGTCCATACGATTGCAGTGCTTAGAAAGTCCAGTGCCGCATCGACCAAACTCGCAAGAACGGAGAGCGAGTCGGTAAGTACCGCCACTATGATCTTCAATATCAGCAGAGTGGTGTTGGCCACCAGGTTGAGGTAAATGGCAACCGTAACGATCCTGTCACTGCTGTCGGAACTTTCCTCCGGTTCGTATTGCGGCATGTTTGGTTTTGAGTCCTCAGCGGTGTCGTCGTCCTCCAGCAACGGCCTTTCCTCGTCCGGGACTTTGTACAGATCTTTCGGCGTTCGCTTGATTTTCGTTTTGGTACTGTACTCGTTGGCCATGAGCTTGTCAATACTGTCCATGCCCTGAGTGTTGCCATTCATGCCTGCGATGTCCGGAGAGACGGGTGTTGATCTAGGCTCTTCGACTATCGTAGTAGGGATGTCTAAGCCAGAACACAGCTGGTTGTACTCTTGGAGTAAACTATGAGGGAGCGAGGAGTCGAGGAGCCGGTCAATGTAGGAGTACTGCTGGATGAGGTAGTTGTTGCGCTCGTAGTATCGCCGCCTGGGGGAGCGTAAGCCAGTGCCATACAGCTCGTACCGATATAGCTCACAGAGGCTTTGACATCTTCTTGAGCTCTTCTTCG